AGGAGAGGAGCCATGCTGGCTGCTCCTTCTGAGGGCAGGACAATTCCCCAGCAGTCTTTACATGACCTGTATCTGTGCAGTTTGATGGACTCTTCTATAATTAACCATTGTCAAGAACACTTCTGAAAATGCCGGCTGGCATTTCAAATAGGAACATCAGATTAAGGAGAAGAGAAGTAATGAGGTGCAAGGAGAAAATCCTTCCCTGGGGAACAAATCAAACCTGATATCATCATGAAGGGTAATGAGAAATGCACTACCGAACTGGGGAGATTCACCGCAGCTGTCTAGAGGAAGCGAAACCATGTATTCCTATTTAAAACACCAGAGAGGGGATGCTAATGTTTTGGTCTGCTGGTTAAGTCAGGGGACACGCAGCTTGCACACCTGCCTTTGCGTGTAGTTTTGCCACACGTTTCCTGAGTCTCTGGGCAAGTCATTTCACTTCTCTGTGACATAAGGTATGTCTATATAGATGTATGCAAGTCAGTGCAAATTGAGTGTGCCTGTACACCCACATGGCAGGTTCTGAAGCTATGACTGTATCTATGCTGTTAAATAACACAGGGCTAAGTGGCACAGACTAGCCCTGTCCACACTGCACAGAACTTGGCCTGTCTCTTCTTTTTTGGGCTCACGTGATCCCTCCATGGCCCTAAGGCAATACTGCTGTGGGGGTTTTTTAATCTTTTCCCCTGTTCTAGTATCTTTAATAATATGAGGCCTTATGGCAGACCATCACAGGACTATTTTTGTAGCATCATTTGGAGGATTTGTGTTGCATATTCTGGCGTGTGGCAAGAAAGCCTGTGTCTGTGTCTCAAGAAAAAACAGTTTTGTTGATGTAGGAGGACTGCACAGGGTGTAAGGAGCCAGACCTGTACTCTTCTGTCTCTGCTGCCCGTGGGAATCCTGTCCCCTGGAGCAGTCATGGGTGTCACTTGGACCAGCAGTGCCAGACAGTGTGCTGACAATTAAACAGTATTGACCACCTGTGAGCTGTAAATCAATTTGTTTTCTGGCCCTGCTGCATTTAGCAGTATAAATGAAACCTGTGTGGCCGTGTCAGGCCACATTGTATGGCCACATTGATAGATAAGTCAGAGTATATTATTTCACGCACGGTGCTACACAGTTGAAGGAGCTGTGGCCACAAGAGCTCCTGTCATAGATACAGCAAGTATTAGGTGACTGTCATCATAATTGCCAACCTTACTGGGATATCCAGTAGCTTAATTAAAGTTTATAACAAGCATTGGTATTTCTACATAGAAGCCATGGGCTGGAGTTGCTTGAGTGTGTTCAGCCTTTAGCAATTTGCAGACCACATGCAAGTATTTCAGGAGAAACATGGATTACCTATAGCGAAAGCCCTCTCGACTGTGGGTGTGCTTTTCTTGTTTTTCTTTCCTGGGCCCCTGGACCCTCAGGGATCCAAGAGCCAACAATTAATGTCTACAACACATGGGAAACCGTGGACAGGGAAAGGGATAGAAGTAGGTGGAGATCATTGAGACCTCTCTTAGACTGTTTTACAAGGCACTAAAAATTGGTGTGGTGTGTGATGCCCAAGTACCTGCTCTGTCTTCTCAGGGACAAGGATGCCATTTCACACAGTGGTCTGTGGGAGCAGAGGGGGTAGGATTTGAGAATGGAGCAAGCCTGCAGGGCATCCTGAGTGGCAGTTAGTGGTCCTGCAGGGCTGGAAGGGCCTGGGAGCATGAGGGCCCCGTGCCAAGAGGGGTAAGATGTTCTTACCCTCACCTGCCATCCTGTTGATGTGCTTTCATTGCTGATGGTAATCTTATGTGCCCGCAATCTTGGTCTCATCTGCGTCTGCAATCTTGGTCTCATCTGTGTGTCACCTCTCATCCTGTGACAGCTCTTCCCCCACGCTGCCGCAGGCACCACAAGAGGTTTTGTTGCTCCCCAAGTTATGTGGCAGGGAAGCGTTTTTTTCCATGCAGCTGTCTGCCATTCATTCCAGATGCCGGGGTAGGATTTGGGGCTAATGCTGCTTGAACTGCCCTCAGGCTTCTTGCAGAGTAGCTCTGTCATTTTTCTACCGAAATTCTTGCTTGGCATTTTACTTAAATCTTGGGCGGTGTGAGCTGCATGGATATCAGACAGCATGTCGTGAGTCAGAGCGAAGGCATTCGGTATCGCAGTGCTCCAGTGGAAGAAACATGTAAGGGTAACTATTACTGTATTTACAGCATCATTTTTCATATTGAGATTTGCACAAGCTTGTTTGAGTTATTCAGCATAAAACCCCTCCATGATTATAAAGGAGCTGACTCATTAAAACAGACTCTCTTTCTCCAGAGTACCCAGAAGAAAACACAGTGCTTTACTGCATCTAAATTCACGCGAGTGTGCCTGGTGCTATCAGTTAAACTACATAGAAAATATCTTTCTTCCCTGCACTGTTCATGCCAATTCCCTCTTTCCTTAGTGCTTCCCCTGACTTGTCTTCTTCCTGTCTGTAATACAAATGTAAAGAGAAATGGCATCTTTTCACTCTGCAGATTTGCCCCTTGTGTGCATTCTCACCTGCCAGCAGTAGCGACCGCAAATGTTTCCCGCTTTTTGCCATGAGAGTCACATGGAGTGAAAACAGCTTAAAAAAGTGTAAGGCAGAGTGTGTTTCTTTCTGTGCATCATTAGTGTTTGGTACATGTTGGTTTCTGGGCCACCTGCATACCTACGCAAAGCCGATGTGAGGCAAATTATGGAGAGGATGAGTAGTGAGCACAGGAGTGACTCAGGGAGGATTTGACCTGCAGAATCTATTACTGACCGTGCTAACGGGGAGAAGATCAGCTGGTTTCTAGGTCCTAGTCCATAGGCCTGTCAATTGTCAAATATGTATTTTTACTTGCAAACTGAGTAGACATGACATGCTGCATCCATCAGTGTGCATGGTGATACCATAAAAATGGCATCTCTTTTCAGGTGAGACCATACTTCTGTCCTCATGCCTCTTTTCCTCTTTGTTTGCCATTTGCCATTTGTCTGTCCTATGAGTCAAAAGTTGACTGCAGCGTGGTAAGACAGTCAGACTCCTTTTTATTTCAAGCAGTAATATTCTGTGGTCTGCCCTTTGGCTCATTCCCTCCTCTTACTCCCCTGACCTCTTTAAAAAAGCCATGCTTCTTAACTGTATGATGCCGGATTAATCTTCTCTAAGCATTTCACACTGTGTTGCCTTGCATATTTTATATCAATGTTCTAATTAAGTCATCAGGTCATGATGGATGAGTGTTCACGTCAGTGACTCTTCTCTGAATGATGAACAGTGGAAAGAAATCTCCAGGAGCCTGGGAAGTGTGTGCAAATGAGTTGGTCTTAGGTGAACTTTTAAGTTTGGAGTTGATACATGATCTCAGGTGGGATTCCCTGGAAACTGAAAAACTCTGCTTAGCTCTGGCTCTTCCAGTACCTGCTCCCACGCATCTCCTTGAATGTTGGGTGTCATTCCTCAGCTAGTGAGAGCAGCTCAATCCAAAATGGCAAGAGAGAGTAGATTTGGACATAGGAAAAGTGGAAAAATACCTCGCGACACATCCTAGCCCTGGTGAAGGAGCAGAAGCTAGTTACAGAAAAGCTGCTCAAGGTTAAATACAGTTCCTGTAAGAAGAAAGAAGCAGTGGACTGAGACACAGTATTTGCTTTCTTTCCAGACTCGTATCAGCTGTGTTTTAGTCTATGCTGGCTTTCCACTACTGTTCCTGCCCTTCTCTCCTTAAGCCTCTGTCTGCTACAGCAGCAAGTAATGAAAGACTTTCTTGCGTTGTGAAACTAGCGAGTGGAATGTTCCTGGGTTCAGCGGTCAGCACCAGGCCAGCCAAGCTCATTTGCTTAGAGGATGTCCTTGCAAGACTTCTCATACTAAATGAACAAGCCTTGCATAAGTAATGGGAATCTGCACACTGGCTGCCTCCATGCCTTGTGGTCGCTCAAGGTAGCAGCCGCTTTCTTTTGCCTGCCTGGCAGCAATGTGAATCTACTCCTGAAACAAGTGGGCAGCTGAGTATAAATTGTATCTGGCTGCCTGGCGTGCTGCCGATCCATATCCGTTCACAGAATATGAACAAAGCAAGAAAAAAGGGCTTAGCTGACCTTGCCTTTTTAGCAGGGGCTGCTTGGTGGAGTCTTTTGTCAGGGTTTCACCAGCCGGTCGGGTCTGTTTTGTCTAGATGATTGGCAGCTTATGCAGCTTGTTTCAGTTTTTGAACCGATTTTGAGTTCCGATCCAGTGCAATCTCAGAAGAGTCTTGGGGAGCCCATACATCCCTCCAGAAGGAGGGATATTCAGGGCAGACAAGCAGAATGCCTGTGTGTGCTGCTGGAGCAACAGTGAAAATTGCTGGAGGCTCAGGAAGAAAGTCCTTTGGGAGAAGAGGAACCTGACATCATGAAGAGACAAGCCTTCAAATCTTGATCTTGATCTAAGAGGGCAAATACCCACTTTCAGAATATATTGTATTCAAGGCTCTTTGCTTTTGGGAGGTTGAATGAAGGTTCATGACATCTTACAGCTGTGTCACAAAGATGCTCGCTCTCTCTTACGTGTCTTCTTTTCATTCTCTTTTTCTTTTCTATTTTTGTGTCTGATGTTGAAGTTCATTTGATTTTGTGATTCCTCCTGCATTTAATTTCCCTGAGTTCAGTCTCTGACTGGATTTAGAGTCATATTCATTAGTATTTGGAAGTGTGGGGTTAAAATGATAAAATAAATTTGTTATAATGTAGGGTTTTTTCCTTCTAGCTTTTCAAGATCTAATTATTTTGCGGCTGATCTAGCACACAATTGATAAGATGAAAATGTAAATTTACAGGTTCAGTATTCAAAGTATTTTTCATCTGATCAAAGAGGTTGAAGCATTTTGCAAAATAGAAAGCTTGCATTTTTGCGAATGTCTGACGTTATGTGGATGTAGTCAGGCCATCAGGAAATCCACAGTGCATCCATTAATGTTTATTTTATTTTTCTGCAGGAGGTCTTGACCTTATCTTCATGCCAGGCCTTGGGTTTGACAAAAAAGGCAACAGATTGGGAAGAGGGAAAGGATATTATGATACCTATCTTGAAAGATGTATGAAACATCCCAGTGGAAAGCCTTACACGATTGCCTTGGCTTTTAGGGAACAGATTTGTGAATCAGTGCCTGTGGCAGAAAATGATGTCCAAGTAGATGAAATCCTTTATGAAGACTGCTGAAAGTATCTTGATACCAACCCACCTTCAGAGTGACCAACCAAAGGCATCAGATCCATCAATCATGACTTTTTAATAGTCATATATGACTTTGGGAGGCATAAAATACACTATTTGTGTTTGAACAAAAAAACTGCCTCAGTGTAAATGTGGTAAATAGTAGTGAGGATTGCATTGATTTGCTTCTAATTAGCGAATGAGAGATGTGAATTCTTATTCTAGAATCAATAGAAACAAGAATGTGTAACTGTTTATTACAGTAAGGACCATTTCTTCTCATCATACTTTAGAGGAACAAGCTACTTGATACTTAACAGTTTTATTATTCCAGTTTAAAATTGTACTGTCTGCTAATGACAGTTCTTGATCCATTCTGAAATTAGATACTTGTTATGGTAAAAATTCTTAGTACTTAAATACTATGTGCATCCATGAGTAAAACAAGAAACTGCGAGATAAGTCCTATAGTAAGCTGGGCAAAAAATGGTGATTGGAAAAAAGCCTTAATTGATTTTAGTGTATACAATACATTTGACTGTTTAGTTGGCTCCTTGAACATTTCTTAAAATAAAGGGAGTATCTGTTAATAAAAAAAGGTTCATGGTCAAAGCTTTGGTATATGGTTCTTTTCTTTGTCTGAAAATTGTAATATGTCATCTAAAATGTGGTCAGTCAGTTCTCCATCTGGAGAAAACCAGCTTTTTTTTTTGTAAAATAATACTCAAAATTACTTTTAAGTAAGTTCTACAATTTTGTGCATGGGCTATTCATAATGTCCCAAAATATTGTGTGAAATATGGGTACTATCTTAAAGGATAAAGATATGCTAAGAATTGCAGAGAGCCGGTTTTATGATTGAGTAAGTTTTTGGGTGGAAGGTTGGTTGTTCTCCAGTTCCGCAGACCACCCTGGAAATCGGGAAGAAGATAGTGAGTTTTCCTCTGCATGCTGTCCTCATAGTAACAGAACACAATATTTCCAATCAGGATCAATCAAACTGTCAAAATTTTGTGTTCCTTCTTCACTGCAAGTTCACTGTTTCTATACATGTTTAACTCCTCCCTCAATCAATAAATCAGTGCATTTATTTTCACCAAACTACTCTATGTCATCATCAAAAAATCCATGAGTTCTCAAGGACCAGCTGCAGAACAGAATGACCTTAAGACTTCCTCAACGATAACTGTTTTTTGAACAAAACCATGCCTACAGTATGTATGAACCTTTTCATCTCAGAACGCTTCTATTCAGTTTTATTTCCATTTTGCTAATACAGTAACTAAACCCTCTTGCTCTGGGGTGAACATGAGCTTAGCAACTCAGGTCTCTCTGGCCTGTGCTCCCTGGTGCTTCTCCAGCCTGTGGAAGGTCCATCTGGCTGGGGGGAAGATACCTTCAGTATTGGCCTGCTGGGCTTCCCACCAGTGTGTACAGAAAAGGTGCAACGTGAACCAGATGGCTGGGAGCAATATGGGCTGTTCAGTAAAACAACAGTGACCAGACTTGGCCTTTCATTGAGTCTTTATCAAATTATTTCACTCCACCAAATGAAAAATGCTGACTAAGATGCGTTCATGTGTTCACAAAGGGTTGTGCAAGCAGAAATGGAGATGACAGTATTGGTGCTGGTGCATGCGGTGGAGCATCCTCCAGCTCCTGTCAGCTCTGCAGTGCTGCCAGCTGTACTGCCTTACAGGAGGGAGACAGACTCTGGCGGTTCAACACCTTTGGGGAATAAACATGATGAGAAAATTGAACCCTTTTTTTTCCACAATGTCTGTCCTGGCAGTATTTTAATCCTTTCTTCATTTTTGAACTTCTGTTGACATATGGAGAACAACAACAAAAAAAGATGTGGCAGGCTTTGGGTGTGGCAGACCTATTTCTAGGTTTGTCTGCAAGGCTGTTTGAGTTCACCTATCACATTAGGCTCAACACTATGCCATATGGCATGGCCTGCCGTGCACATCAACAAAACTACACTGAAGCCAGTATTTTTCACAGGGGAAACCTGGATCCCAAATCCGATAGATGTTTAAAATGCATGTATTAAGTTCAGCCTCATTCAACAAGCTACCTGCTTCCACCCCACCAAAACCAGTGGGTGCTTTTAGTGGTGTCCTACCTCAAGGCTTAGCCATGGTGCTTTACCTGGGATCCTGAGGCATGTTTACATGGTTTGGTTGGTGTGACACTAAGCGTGGCTGCACGAGTGTTGCTCCAGTTCTACTTCAGGCACAAAATCAAGAAGCCACGTCAGCATAACAGAACATCATCAGAGGCTAATGCCCTCTTGCAGCTACATTCAAGCTGAGGGGAAGCCATGATGTTTTGTTTTAAAGCTGAATACTATTTTTTTGAGCCGTGTTTTATTAGGATGCCTTGTGCCACATAAATGGCTACTGTGAAAGGATGCTTTTTATCCAAAACCTCTGCACCTTGTGGGTTTGCTTTTCTGAGACATTCTGTATATAAGAGGGATTTTTATTATTATTAGCCCAGTTAGATAGGAGTTTATTGACAAAACTTTATGGCCCTTTTGGATTAGCTTTTCATCTTGCTGTCTGAGCTTTGATTTATTCACTAGAGTAAGGGCTAGCTTGACTCCTACGTATTTCACTACAGGTGATACCAGGCCAACAACTGTGCACAAAAAGGCCGGTGTATGATGAAGAGACTTCAGGGCCAGAGCTGACAACTGTACAGAAACAAAGTGCTTAGAGACAGCCAAGGACTTGGTCATACATTTTGTTGCATGAGAGTTCAAAATGGGGCAAAAAATAAAAAGCAAGTGTTTGGATGCAAAATAGAGGCCCCCATCCAGCACGGCCACAGATAGGTGCCGAGCTTTGTCCTTGTGGGCTCCCTGGAGCTGCTGGAACTAATTGGTATAGGAAAAGCAAGTGAGCTTTGAAGGCTTTCGGGGCTTGAGGCAATGAGTGTCCCCAAACTTCTTACTGATCACATTTCAATACATCATGGAGCCATTCTCTCCCGCTTTCACTCCAAACCGCCCTTTTGGCCACAGCTGCAGCGGGAAAGGATGAGGAAACTATTTAATGTACTGTGTCATTGGGAACAAGAGGAGCCGGCGCTTTGTTTCTTGCCAGCCTCTCCTGGGTCAGGAGGAGATCATCACCGGCTCCTCGGCCAGGCTGGGGGACCTGCGGGACCCTGGCTGATGCAGATAGCTCAACATTTGGCTGGTGAGGACAGCAAAACAATATTTATGTATATTGTCTTCAGAATCATGGAGCTAAATAAATGTGACAGCTTTCATTTGACATCCCCAACCTTGCTGCTGTCGCTCAGGGTTTTTGTTTTTGCCACATAACATGAAATCACTGTCAGTCTGATAGTATATAGCAGTGTTTCTGAGGCACAAAGGTTAGGGGGTTGGTAGGTGCGTCAGAATTATTTACGTTTGCTATGCATAAAATGGCACTTGGGAAGCAAGGCAGGCTGCCAAGAAGGAGAGGAATCGGGGCTATCTGGTTGCTCTCTTGTATCTCTCCATGCTGGATTGTCAGGGTAGGATTTATAAAAATTGCTTCAAAACAGTATCATCTTTCCTCAATTGGATGTGCCCCCGTCTGTTGCAGTGAATGCCATTATTGCTATTCTCATGACAAAGTGTCTATCAATCTCTACTTTGTTTATAAACAAATCTGCCTGCCTTGCATAAGAAATGGATAGACTAAGGAAAAATACCATTACCAAAGGAATAAGTTAATTATATTTCAGGATCTCAGCAGGGAATGCTATCTCAGAATATTCAGTAAGATCTGACCAGTGGAGTTATAATTAAAAAATGTCCCCAGGGAGGAACTGGTAAATTATTTACTGTAAGGGGCTTTTCCAGGCTCTTTTAGTTTAATTACACACTCTGAAAGAGAAAGGCCTCGGAAACAAATTAACTAAGAGGTTGAAATGGCTTTGTTAAAATCATGTTCACGGCTAAGCAAAAGTGGAAGACTGTGAGCAAGGTTCAAATATAGGACAAATCTTTGGAAGCTGGCATTACTCATGGTTGAAAAATCATATGGAAAGCACCAAAATGTCCGTACATAGAAAATGCAATCACTGGTTTTGTCCAGTATTCCCACTGGCCTCAGAAGACGTTCTGTGTGGTCCAGATCTGACAGTGCCTCATGTCCTCACAGCCATTTGGGGGGGAGGAACTGCCTTTTGTGGCCTTTTCGGTAGGGTACGGATGAAGTCCTAGCAGGGGGGGATGAAAGATTAGAGGTGGTGGAGAGGCAGGATAAGAGGATGCTGGGACAGTATGAATTTTCCATCACTCTCACACCACCGATGGCATTTTAGCTGAAAACAGGCTGGTTAACCCTCAGCAGAAGGTGGGCTGAATGCGGCCTTTGGTGCTGAGAGACAGGCACCCATGCTATTAGCAGTTGTGTCCTTTTGAAATGCATGGGTGAAACCTGGCTTGCTTGCTCTCCCACATGAAACACAGCTTAAGCATTTGCTACCGAAGTTGGCTCCTGGAGTTGGCCTTTGCTGGAAGACAGCTGGCGTGATCTCTAGTCGGATGTGGAGAGTGGAAGTCAAGAGGCCAGAGCTCTCCCCTCATCTCAACCACTGACTCACCAGTTGGCAGAGAAGGAGGCATTATCTAATATCTGTTTGCTAAGGAATAAGGAAGCCGGTAATACTGTATCTGCTTGCCGAATTTTATGTATGTAATGGCCTTTCAGCTGCCGTTGTCCTTACATTTCTTTCTGAAGAAACCACATCTGCTGTGGCCACCTTACCAAAGAGCCAACTGGCTGAGCAGAGCAGCCAGCCAGGCACGATTGCTGGTGCATAAGTGCTCGTTAGCCCATATACATGCATATAGCATTTCTCTTTTCCTTGAGTGTCCTTTGTCTTTCAAATTTATTGCACTTGCATGTCTGTCTCAGATGGAAACTACCCCAGAGTTAACAGTCTCTCCACCTCCTGCATGTGTACAGTCCTCAACACATGGCATCTGATTGTAGCCTGAGGGTACTGTTATCAGTCCTAAACAATAAGTTCTCCACCTTCGGGCAAAATAATAGCTGAAAATTCGCAGATGAAAGCTGCTTTAGTCATTCATCAGGCAGATGAGATCTCTGCTTTTATTTTGTTATAGTGTAAATCTGCTGCTTAGTTTTCAAGTCTCTCTGAAAACTACTGAATCATAAAAATGCTTGTAGCAAATGCCAGCTTGTCTGTCACCAGAATAATACATTAAATGGCTTATCAGCCTCAAGAGAAGACTACAATACTTTTGAGATTATTTGGATATATAGTTAGGGAACAAAATATGTTGACAGGTTTAGAATTGTCTTGATAAGTAGGTTTTATTTT